GGAGGCCCAGCTTGACCCTGACACCTTGGAGTGCACAGGAGGCCTTATCTTGACTGTTGAAGGCCCACACAAATGGTTCCAGAGGCCTCGGAGTGCCTTGTTAGTGGAAGAGTCAGACACGGTCATTACAAACTGACCCCCACCTTGCTTTCCTCTGCTGGGAGGGCTATGAGCGGCAAACTTTCCTATAAGATTGACTGACTTTATGCCTTTTGCCTCCTGTTTCTGGAAGTCCTGATTGCGTGGTTTATTGCAATAAATAACTCTAATGGACGCTTGTCCTCGGTAAAGTTTTTGTAGAATCCCCACTTCACCTCCTTGCTCTCCTTAGTTTTGTTAAATCAAACCACCAACTGAAATGATCAAACAGCTTTTTCATTTTAGTGGGAAAACACTAAGAAATTCGCAGATTGCTTTTTCATTTTATTCTAAAAACGACTCGATAAATCATATAATTTCTCTTTCCACTAGCGGCACGTGAGCGGCTGCAGTATTTTTGTTTTTGGACCGAGGCTGCGGGCTCACGTCATGGCCCTTCCTCTTTTCCAGGCCCGCTCCACACACGGTCACGTTTGATACTCGTGCTGTACAGTGTGGTCAAAACATGCAGAGAAACACGAGGTTTCCACTGCTCAAAGGAGAATACTGCTGTCATTTAGGGCTACCAGCCCGCTGGCTTCTAAATATAGCTGCTTTTCCACAACCGTTCCGTAATGAATGCTGTAATTCAAGCTTTCACTTACTGTATTTACTGTATAATGAGCCGTTCTGAGAGGGCATGGATTAAAGAATTATAATGCTGTAAAGGTGTTAGTCTGTGGTAGAAGCTCATGTTCCCTCCAGTGTCGGGGCATATGAAATGTATTCCCCCCCCAAAAAAATAAATCATGATGCAACCTGGATGTCAGACATATGCACAAAGTCAAACAGAAAGCAGGCCAATCAGACCGATGCTATCAACACTCATCAAGTCCTTCTGATGTGATGGATGTTGTTTGCTGCATTGGACCCGTTCAGTCATAACTTTGCGTCGGACTTGATGAGAACCTGACAAACGCGGTGACTAAGCATGTCTGCGTGTCATTGTGGCGACACTGATCAACAGTACTTGTCAATTGGAACGTTTTTAGAACATGACTGATGTGTTTTCTACTCACACCAGTGACTCATGAGTGTGGTGGGTGTTCGGATCAGAGTGGATAAAATGCTCAGCCTGTCTCAAAATGCCAAAAAACTGAAAAAAAAAGAAATCAACTTTCCTTTTCGAATGACAGATAAAAAGTGACAAGAATTGATTTGAAAGAAAAGACGTTTGAGTCGTCGGGTTTGTTTTCGTGGGATCCTACTCGCATTCTGATGTAAAGAAGTGGCGTAAATGCAGTAAGTAAGCAGAATGTGCACTGAAGTAAACTCCAGCAGTTTAGAGGCTGAGGCTGCACCATGAATGTCAATGACATCACCGCAGCTCTGATAAAGAAAAAGTGTTTCCTGGATAAGCGAGGACCAGAATAAACGTTGTGTTCTTACAAAGGGCCCCGGCTATTGATTATTTCCATTACTGTTAAATCTTTCTCAGTTAATTTAAAATGTGAGTAACACTGCCGGAAAGGGAAAAAAAAGTCCAAAATGTTCCTAACAAATGTCCACAGCTCTAATTAGGTCTTCCATCAATCAAAAAAACATTCAACTTATAATGATTTAAGTCAAATTCTTACATCCAAGAAGCCTGAAACAGTGAATATTTAGCATTTTTTACTGCTTTTTCATTAATGTGTGTGTATTTAAAGACAGTATCATGCAAATAAGTTAAGCTGCATTTATTTAGCACATTTTAACGCCGTTACAAAGTGCTTCACACACACAAAAAAAGGCAAACAAAGTGAGAATAAATTATAATATGAAACAGCGCAGTCAGAGACAAACAAACCCAGACACACAAAGTACTTCACACACATAAACGAAACAGGAAAAAAAAACTAAGTGAGAATAAATGACAAAATGAAGCACAGTGCAGTGGCAGAGACATGTACCAGAACAAAAACACATGGATGGAAGTCTATAAACGGGTTCACTGGTTTTTTAGGAGGCGCTAAAAGCAGCCCAAAGGTCCAGAGCATCTAATTGACTGAAGAAGATTTCAAAGTGTTGGGGATAAAGATGCAATCACCTTTTGTTTTGCTGTTGGAGCAAGGGATGGATAAATATAGTGGCTGAGAAGTGGAATGAGGAACAAAGAAATTAAAAAAAAACTTCAGTGAGGGCAAGTCATGCAGTGCCCTAGATGTAATCTTGTCAGTTATTCTGAATTTTATAGGAAGCCAGTGGAGGGCTGAGGAGCAGGGGTAAGGTGGGACTGACAGCTACTTCCTGTTAGTAGCCTGGCAACCAACGTTAATTGATTTAGAGCAGGTTGACTGAGGCCTGTGTAGAGAGAATTACAATAATCTAGATGGGAGGGCTCCAGTTATCAGGGTATCACACTGCTCAGCCTTCCTGGAAAAGTTTGTTCCAGGGTGCTGGAGTGGAGACTCTCACTGATTGTCCAACATCAGACTGAGAAGGAGCAATGCTGATCCCATCCTGGCTTTGGAACAGTGAACACCTCGTTACCCTTGCAGAGTTGGTGAGGCGTAATGGGAGTTACGGTGTCCCCTGGGGAACCCTGTGAAAGCTGCCATGGGGTTGTCAGGTACCCAGTTCCTGTACAGCCAAAGTGAGAGCTGTGTTTGTATTCTCTGCACCAAGTCAGACATGTTTCCTGTGGGTGCTGGGCTCTGCCAAGGTTGCCCCTTGTCTTGGATCTTGTTTGTAATAATCACTGACGGGATTTCAAGGCTGGGGTGAGGAGTGGTTTGGGCGTCATATCTTTTTCAGAGATGATGTGGTTCCGTTGGTCAACTGGGGTGAGTGTCAGCACATCCAAGTCTGAAGCCATGACTCTGCTGGAAACTGGTGGATTGCACCCTCTGCCGCAAGTTTAGGAATTAAAACATCTTTAGATGTTGTTCACGTGTGACGGGAGAGTAGAGTGATAGACAAATGGACTGATGCAGCATCAGCATTTAGGCAGACATTGCATCACACTGTTGTAGTAAACAGGGACCTGAGCCAGAAAGCAAAGCACTTGATTTACCAGTCGATACACATTCCAACAGTTACCTATGGTCACGAGCTCCGGGTAGTGAGTGGAAGAGTGAGATTGTGGAAAAAATAAGTGGGTTTCCTCTGTAGAGTGGCTGGCTATGAAGAGGAGTTTGGACACCCAGAGGGAGCTTTAAGTACAGTCACTGGTTCTTTGTTTCAAAAGGATCCGGCCGAGGTGGTTCAGGCGTCTAATTAGGATGCCTGTGGATGCCTTCCTTTGAAGGTTTTCTGGGCATTTCCAGCTGGAAGGGTGGACCCAGAACTCACTGATCTCATGTGGACTGGGAAAGCCTTGGAATCCCCCAGGAGGAAAGTGTTGCTGGGTAAAGGGGCATCTGGAATGCCCTGCTTTGTCTGCTGCTGCTGCTGCTGTGACCTGGTGGTCCTGAAAATGAATTAAGAGTTCAAGATCTATAGAAAACAAGAAATATTTGGTTTTAGATATTTCCTAACTGAGGAAAACCGTAGAGGACAAGCTTTGTAAAGTGATAGTCAAAACCTCCTAAAAAATGAAACCAGATTTCTTAGGAGGTTTTTATTTCAGTGAAATGGAACAAAGTGGCAAATTTTTCAAATCCAGTCAGAAAATTTTGTTTATCAAGTTTGAGGTTGAGAAAATGAAGGGGCATCCAGTCTTTGGTGGTCGAGCAATCATGGAGGGGGGACAAGGGGATTCAGGTTCCAGGGCTTAGCATAGAAATAGATCTGAGTGTCATCGGCATATCATTTAACGTGTCTGAACAAGTGAGGCTGAAAGGGTAGTAGTAGTTTTGTAGGTGGCACATTTTTGAGGAAAGAAAGAATCCACCATGTAAAATTATTAGTGGTTTCTTTTAAAGTTAAACTGAGTGTTCAGGGGCCCTGGATGATGTATATGTTAAAGTTGAAACTATTATTTGCAAAAATAGGTGTGTACTGTTTTGATAGTCTAATTGTTTCAGTGCATTCATTACGAGAAAATACAAAAACAGCTTCTAGTCTCTCAAATGTAAATATATTGGTTATATGTTTGTATTTTGGACTGTTTGGCGCACAAAGCAACAAACCTGAATAGGCCAACTTGACTGTATGGAATGTGTTGAACTTTTTTTTTTTTTTTTTTTTTAAACTATTCGCTTTTTTTAAATTCAGTTTTATAGACCAAATGACTATTCCAGAAATAAACTGACTCATTGTCATCGTCTCATCTGTAAAAGATTTACAAAATTAAGGGAAAATTTGAGAAATAGGAACTGAATAAAAATAAATGAAATTAGTTTTTACAACTGAGATACTAATTTTACGAGAGGACTCACTCCATCCGCTTCATCATGGTCTCATTTCACAGGTGATTTGAAAACAGTTGTGGGCCGGCAGACAGTCAGTAATTACAGTTAACCATTACAAGATGAGCAATCACGCTGGTATCAGCGGCCTATGAAGACGTTTGTTATTACAACATCCGTGTAATGTTTTCTGACGGTCATTATCCAGCCGAGCCGATGCTGGATGCCTTCAGCTAAACTCGATATACCGAAGGTGGACTTTAAAACATCTTGAGCTGAGCATCCTTGAATAAATCCTAGAGCTGGATCTGATAGTTACTCACGTCAGTACCAATATGACAGTAGGCCATAACTCTCAGTAACTTGAAAAACAACAGTGTCGCCGTCCTGCCTCCCTACGTGGAGCTTTTAATCATCATGACCAAGCGGAACGATTCGTACGTGTCCGTGCATCACAAAGTCAGGCCGAGTTAATCAAATGTATTAACTGCTCTTTGTCTTTCTCTTCCAAACCCCCAACCCCACCCTCTCCACCCTCTCTGGCCCCACCAATTTTATTCCTCTACAACCGGCATGGTGTGACATCCACAGAGCTCCCGGCTGAAGAAGGTAAATATTGATTTTTCTAATGAGCTGCGATCCTCCTCCCTTTACTACCTGATTACGTGTCTTGAGCCTGGGTCTTTTTCTTTTCTGTAAACTTTGCGAGTGTACACTACAGCAGCTTTCCACCCATGGACACACACACCACTGCTCCTCTGTAAACACAGCCATGGTCTTGCTGTACAGCTGCCTGTCAGCATTGCAGAGCTAATGTCAATACGCCTTGCAGATCCATCCCACCCTTAAGCACGAGGACACACTTTAAATCCTTTACACTTAAAGGCTCAAGCTTTGAATCGAGTGTGATGCGTTATCTCGTGTGACGTTTATTTGCATATTTCAGGCAAGTCCCTGTGGGAGCTGGTGGTGGAGCAATTTGAAGACCTCCTGGTCCGGATCCTGCTGCTGGCTGCCTGCGTCTCCTTTGTAAGTACAATGAGGGATAATTAAAAGGCCCGTGGCTCTCAACATCTTGGTTCTCCATCTTGATCCTAGACCCTAATTGGACAATGGCCAGGAAATTGCCACCTAATAGACGGCACGATTAGTCTTAGGCGGCTTTATTCCCCTCTTAGAACTCTGCTCAGCCTAGTTTGTGGTCCCTTTTCATGTGGAAACTTGTGTAACACAGGCTTTTCCACCCAGTGTTGATATGGTTTCAGCGAGGGGAACAGGCGCAGCACTTCTGCCGAACTGGAAACTAAACTATCAGTCAAAGCTCCCTCTGGTGCGTCGCCCTAGACTGTGACCTTGGTTGGAATCCGAGGGCGGCGAAGGTCGGAGCGGGGTGGAGTGGGGGAATCCTTGCTGCATAATAGCTTTTTTTCCATCTATTACGGCACGTCCCCGGTGTCTCGGGATGGAATTGCTGTTGCTATTTCTGCAAGTAGGAAAGTTGCTCTAAAAACGTATATGACACAATATATCTGTAGCTGCTCCGGGTGCAGGCGTGGGCTCGACTCTGGAGTGTGGGCTCACTTTTCCTCACATAAATCCGACTTTTCTTACTTTAAAAAGGTTGTTTATAGCGGAACACGCCGCTCAGACCCTAATGCTTTACAACGTCGTCGTTGCCTGGAGTGGTTTCAGCTTAGCGGCCATAAAGCGACATTACTCGTGACCTGATGTGACTTGAAATCCTAAATATGTCACACTCCACTGTAGTTTTTCCTACAGCCGACACTTCAGAGCTCGCCTGTTCATAAATTACGTTCTTGTAGTCCTTTTTATAACCTTCTAACTCTCCTATTTGCACACTGTTTTGTATGTTTCTAGTATAACCAGGGAGTGGCTAAAGCTGAGCGAACCGGCGCTAAACCCCGACTTGGGACTCATTTGGCTGTTATTTTGAATTTATTCAAATTCATTTCCTTCGCATGGCACAACAGTGAACTTTATTGGCTCGTATTAAGGCAGAAGCGGGAAGGTTAGGACACGACGATGTTTAATGTGTCATTCACGAGCCGTTCAGTGTGGCTATATCTTTAATGGTGCCTCATTTATTCAAGCAAATGTGTTTCTTCTGAAGCTGATAGTGAGCCACCCCCCTCTGGCAGGGCTGTAATGGAGCAGAGGCGCACAGAAAGCCACACCAGGCACCTGAAACAATCACTTCCTCGCCGCGTGAAGTCGGCTTAATGTGGCGGAACTTAACATAGCACGAGCAGGGACTTACAAAGTTGCAGCAATTGACCCTAAAGATGTTTTTCTGGTCAATTTGATATAAAAAAATACATGTTTTTTTCCCATTTTGCCGAGGCCCCTGCGATGTTCCAAAACTCTGGAGATGTTCGGCTATAATGGGCCCATCTGTCGGCGTGCGTCCCAGCATGTGGAGTGTGAAGAGTGCAATGTTCAGAGCTGGAAGGAGAAGGTTTAATTTCAAAACCCAGCGGTGAAACTGAGCTTAATTCTGCCTTTGATTGCCAAATACAAGCAGCTGAATTTCCACCA